GGGGGTGCGGAGGAGTCGGCGGCGCAAGCGAAGCAATCGCGGAGCGGAACGTGATGGAGAGGAAGTCGCAAAGCAAAGGCGGAAGTCGGCGAGAACGAGGCATGGCGGCGGCGGCAAAGGAGGCGGCGGCAACGTGGGGAGTCAGGTGAAGCATGGGGGAGTGATGATGGCTGGTGGAGTTGGTAGAAGAAGTCAGCAGCAGCAGCAAAGGCAGAAACAACGTGGGGGAGGGCAGCGGGGAAAGAGGAGGAAGTCAGCGGCGTGGGGCAGCGGCGACGTGGGGGAGGAGAGAGAGAGAAAAGAGAGAAAGTCAAACGCACTTGAGTGCGATCCGACGATCCCCGTTCAAATCTGAAAATGATCCAACGACCCACGAAAAACCCTAATTATAAATTAGAAAAAAGGCCAAAAGATAATAACTCTACTAAGGAGGTTTATTAGTCGAAATCCGCATCCGGTCCAAATTTCACTTTTCACTTATCCCGGGCAATATTGACGCTGGCCACAATAATATCGACACCGTCCAATTAAATTCGTCACGAAACTCCGAGAAATTCAATACCAAAGTTCGGGCTCTAAATAACGGTCAAATTCGATCGAGTGCGATTCTAGCAAAATCTCTAATTTAAAAAAAAATAACCCAAGAGTAATCAATTCCGGGCGAGATTTTATTATAAGCGCACTGATGAATTACACGTTTTATAAATCCCAAAAATGGGCCGAAATTAGGAATGTCACATTGCGCGTATCGAGGCGACACTCCCGCGTCTCGATCAGGATTTCTAGCCGACTCTTGATCATGACTAGTGGTGACTCCAATCAAATGCGTAAATTAAAAAATTCTCGTCACGCGAGGTATGAGGCTTGGGAGTGCCTCGGTCTTTGGATTAATGAACCATTTGGTTTGTCTTTCAAATGAATTAATCGTTATTCACATCCATCGACAAATACTTCTTAGCCTAAACCTGATCGAGACGGGGGTAGGTTGCGACATCGATCGCTTGCTTCCACAACAAAGGTGAGATTGATAAACATGAATTGGTTGATGCTTAATAAATAACTTTTATGTTATTTCTGATTTTCTCTAGAATTATTTGTGAGTTCTAAACCAGATCTTTTGCAAGTTGGGAATCCAGCAACCATTTCGCTAGATACCTTAAAGAGCAAAGAGGGAAAGAAGGTGCCATAAGGAAGTTGTCCCGACCCTTAAGCATTCACTACCTACCCATTTTGTGTAGTTTTGAATTTTGGTTACCTTTTTTGAAGGTCACTCGGCATTCCCACTGGCTCACCCAAAATTGGGTGCATTTGAGAAATTAAAATATCTCACCAAGAGGATGATAAATTATTAGTGATAGAACATATTGGTTCTTCTTTAATACTTTCATGGTACTAAGATAGTTTAAGCAAAGTATTTATAGTTGTGAAATCAAGATGCAAATTGTGAATCGAAATCTTAAATTTACGAATTGTGAATTGATAATCGAATTGAATCGAATCGAATCGTAGGGTTTGGTAAAAAAAATACGTGAAATTAGTGTTATTGTCATAGATATTCATAAATTTTACAGAATGTAATAAGGCATACATTTTTCAATAAGGAAACCAAACTCTAATAATCAACCTTTCCTCCCCAAAAAGAAGAGAGAAAATCTTTCTAGTTTATTTGAGTCCAAAGTGCCATACCCAGGAAAATCATCTCTTCCATCGCCTTTTGCATCCTAGTCTTCGACATGCAGGGTGACATCCATCCATAACCACCTTCAATGTCACCTCTAATAACATCGCAGCATCCTAGAGGCATATAATGAGCTCCCAAGCACTTTCATTTCCTTTCTCTGCAATGGACACTTTTGTCACCCTTGCCATAGATGTCCCTAAGTTTCATGTGAGCAACAAGAAGCCATTCATCTATGACATGACATACCTGTGATGCTAACCCAAAAAGTTTGTCGACTACATTGTCGCCTTCGTGTATGAAATGCAAAAAATATTGCAAGGGCGAGGCCGACGTATCTTTTCTGCTGCTCCTATTTATGTTAAGCCAATGGAATTTGAACAACACAACCTTATATGCTATTAGGAACTTAGTCGAGCATGGCATGCTATTGAGAGGTCACATGGCTTCGTCAGGCTTGAGAAGAGATCTAATCACCACAATCGAAAGAAAAATATTTTGAAGTCATATCGAATAACTTCTAAAGTAATAAAAATTAGGGTTAATACTATGAAAAACTTCAAACTGGTACACTCGTGACAAATTTACTTTAAACTAATTTTTTAATTACAAAAAATCCCAAACTAGTACATCTGTGATAAATTTACCTTAAACTAATTTTTTGATCACAAAAAACCCCAAACTGGTATATTTGTGACAAATTTACCCTATGTTAAATTAGATTAGTATCATGAAAAATCACAAACTGATACATATGTAACAAATGAAAGGTAAAACACCAAATTAGTACACCTGTCAACTGCCACATGTCATCCAATTCAGAATTTGACAGTAAAATTTAATGGAAACTAAATACAGCAAAAACTAGTCTTCCTACTTTATGGAGGGTCGCCTATTTCCTTCTTCCGAACAAAAAGTAAGCTAATGAAATGCATCAACTATAAACACAGCCCAACATGGACAAAGAGTAATATAAAACTACTCACCGTTTGATGTTGGGTTCTAAATCCCACACAAGGGAACTCTCTAGTACAATGTCCAAAAGCATGAGTGTGGCATAGTTTCACAGAGATTCTGAGCAAAAATTGCAAGGCTTACGGAAGAGTGGAGGTGTCAAAATGGGTCTTAAACCCATATATGACCCATTTAAAAATAAATGGGTCACTTTAATTTTAAAGAGTTAACCTTAAATGGGTTTTAAATTTTAAAACTTAAAGATAAATGGGTCTAAATTGGTTGAGTTTGGAACCCATGTCCAACCCACCTACTAGACCCATCCACACACTCTCTCCCTCTTTACAAAAATGTTTAAAAAAAATCGAAATTTAATTATTTTTTTTTCTCTTTTTCTTTTATTTTTTCTTTTCTCTTCTTTCTTTTTCTTTTTTTTTTTATTCCGGCCGGTGGTCGGCCACGGCGACCGGCCACCGGGGCGGGACGACCTCGTTGGAGGCCGGCGAAGCTCGAGCTCGTCGGCCTCGAGCGAGGCTCGAGGCTCGCCCGATCCCGGCGAGGCTCCAGCCTCGCTCGAGGCCGGCGAAGCTCGAGTCTCGCCAGCCTCGGGCGAGCTCGAGCTTCGCCGGCCTCGGGCGAGGCTCCACGTCGCTAGATCCGGCGAGGTCGAGCTCGCCCGAGGCCAGAGAGCTTGAGTCTCGCCAGATCGGCGAGGCTGGAGCCTCGCCTGAGGCCGGCGAGGCCGAGGCCTTGCCAGATCGGCGAGAACGAGCTTCGCCAGCCTCCGGCGAGCTCGTCCTCGCCTATGGTCGGTCGCCGGCCACGGCGGCCGGCAATCGGCCAAAAATAAAGGAAAAAGAAAAAAAGAAAAAAAAAATTAAAAATTCGATTTAAAAAATAAAAAATATATTAATTTTTTTTTATTTTCTTGGATAATGACTTTATGGAAAATATTTTCTAGAAATATCGCATTTTTCGTAAAACAACCCTTTGATGGTTGCTCACCGAAAGACAGCAATTTGGGGACGGCACTAAGCTCATACTGATTCGTGCAAACTAGTGATACATAAGAGTAGTTGCAGTCCATGAGTTAGGAAGAAGATGATTTTTTGACGACTTTGTCTTTGATTTATTTGTTCCGGTCGGAGCTGATCCGAGCGGTGGTGTATTCATATTAGACCCAAAAGAAACCTGCAGGTGGGCATGTTTTGGCTCTTGCAGCCACAATTAGGTTGATGTTTAGGAAAGGCAAAGGTGAGCAATGCGTCTGCAAGGTTTTGGATGCCCCAAACCTACCCGAAGCTGAAGCTATATCCTTTTTGTGCCGGATTTTCATCTAGCTATATACTTTACTTCATTGAATTTTACCCAATTATACTGCAGAGACCAGGTAAAATATCTAGGAATCTATATCAAAATATGTGAGAAAATCGGTACTGAGTCTACATATGGATAGGTGGAGTCCTAATTTAAGCATGATACTTACAGTATACCTAATGTTGAAAGGAGATCCATAGATGTGTCAAATATGAATATTGTGTGGAGAAATTAAATAAGAAAGTGGATATCGAGAATACTTCTAAGCATGACTAGTTGATTAGCTGTGCAGCCTGTGCTATGTATACGATGTACATCTATCAATACCATCACTTAATTTCACTCAAAAAATTTAGCAAGAGCTCATCATGTCAATAAGAGAAGACCGAGACTTGATCCATGTGCGTTAGACTTGACGAACACGTTTTTCAGTTAACACTAGGAGGCATGGCCGCTGCAAAGGACTAAAGAGGTCCTGCAAGCAGAACAATAAGATCAGGCACTAAAACTGATAATGAAAAAGGGCGCCATGTCTGGACGGGCGGGATGAGCGAAGGGTGCCATGGACTGAGGAAGATCCCGAGTCTCATCTAAGACAATTAAATGCACCCCGAGGTTCTGCCGAGGAACTGGGGGACCTTCTCGAGCACAGGATAGGCAATTGAGAGATAGAGCTAGCCTACTCCTTTTTTTTGTTGACTTGCAATTTGATATTAGCTGAGTATTGACAGCTTCCCTCCATCTTCTTTTTCCTATTAAGTTTGTATCGGCACATGTCAAGTTCCCATTGACATCTTAAAAATTGCAAGATTGACTGCTGCTTTAGCCCTAATGTCTAACATGCTATCATTGTCTATTATCGAAGTTCATATGACCCTTCATAATGCGTCAGGTTAACTCAATTTCCATACGAGAACCGGCACGCTCCAAGTTATTTTGGTCTGCTTTTTTCCTCATTTAACAATATCGTTCCGGTCTCATTTCCTAGTAGAGATAACAGTAACACAATAGACATCTAAGTGAAAAAACGTAACATAAAATAAACTCTGCATGATGGCTAACTGAAATGCCAGAAAGATATTATTGCACATAGCATGATCAGGTTCTGTAAAGGCTTGGTTTTATAAGCAACAGGAACAGCTGCATAAAGCAATGTCATCTCAAACTCTCAACATAGAGCAAACGACCATGAGAGCCTGAAAATTGTCAATATATGAGAAAGGGTGACTGGGTTATAAGCAATAGAAGGCCATTCAATAGCTAATGGCCTGGCCAAAAAAGGGCCATAAACCATAAGACTCAGTAGTGCGAGGACCAGCTCGCAGCACTCCCAACTCTAGGCATGCTGGACTCCTTAGTCTCCGCATCCCCTTTTTGAATGTCGTGCCGCACACTTGGCCAGAGCTGCCCACCCTAGGAACCGGCCTCACCTCATTCATTGGGTGCTCATATCACCAAAACCTCCAGTGCTAGTAAAGAAGCATCCTGAGTGGAAAAGAAGGCAATGTTAAGAGGTGAACAATTTGGTGCTCGAAAACCATTGGAAGAGCAACATTGCAGGTTTTAATGCACATGTCAAAACATGCATACAGATAAAGATTGCCACTATAACCCTAGATTAACAAGTTAGGCTTGAAACCAATTTTTCCAACTCATGCCAAACATCAAAAATGGGGAAAATATCTTCATACAGCTAATTTCTCATAAATTATACCGGGACTGCAATCCAGACTCATTTTTTAAGCTATTGGCAAATGATACTGCATATTCAATGTCAAAAACTTAGACTTGTCCTTCCACGAGCCCTAATCAAACGACAAACGTGGGCCGCTGTAACTGTGAGTACATCCTGTATATCAGCAGCAATCGTCTCCACGTCCTTTTTTGTTTTCTCTCTGTAGCTAAGCCTCATTATATGTTTTGTAAGGTACCGTGACCCCATTGAACCAATCTTGGATGATGACAAGAACTAAACTTGCCTGATTCAAAGAGGACTGAAGTATCTTCTTATGATCCTGGAAATTCCCATGGAAAGGCGCCACCTTGCCTTGAGAAACCACCTAGAGCTCGTCCATGTTTCCAGATATTACATGCTCATTGTGACTAACCTGCAAATCAAGGTGAAAAGAGGGCTATTAGCTGCGAAGACGATCAATCATTGGTCAAATTCAAGTATTTTGTCAAGAAATCAATCTCACCATCAGAATTCCTCCTTGGAACAAGACCAGACCTTGAATGAAAGCCTCAACTGCATCCAAATCCTGCAGTTTGGGATAGTAAAGAACGCAGAATCATACTCATCAATCCTTAGACAAGAAACTAGCAATTTACAAAGCTAACACTTTAGTAGTCACTGGTCATTAAAGCAGAACTTAAAGTCCACATTTATAAACAAAGAGATTTCTGCATAAATTAAGTGCAAAGCCCTGTACTGCCTGTAGGCACAATTATCTGAACAACTTGGTATTATACACTTCTATAATACAAAAACACAGATCAGGCTGGCATAACTATTCTATTCCCAATATTTTGCAAGTTGGAACAATTACACTGGTTTCTATTTCATTATAAATTAGAAGCATGGCGATAGAGGCTCCCCGAAGTTGTGATCACTGATTGCTTCTTCTGTATTTTCAATGTCAAGACCAGATTCCAATAAGTTCTACTAGTGCAAGACAATAACAAGCTAACTGAAATAGTAATAAAAGTCACAAGGATGAAATAAATGAGTTAACTTACCAGATGATTGGATGGCTCGTCAAGCAAATCTATGTGAGGTTTCTTGAAAGTTATCTCGGCAAATGCAACTCTGGTTTTCTGACCACCTATTGATATGGCCAAAGCACCATGTTATATGTGCAATAACATCCAAAAAGCCTCAGAGAAAGTACAGAGTGAACTGCAATTCAGATTACAAATTAACTAACCTCTAATAGAGCTTCACAATGTCATACGAAAATTGCTTCAACAAAAAATTTACAGATCCAACAGTAGCAGAGAGGGAGGAGATGTATCATACAAGGTACACATTGGTTGAAGTGCAAGATTTCCAGTTACACCAACGGAACACAAGTGAGCTTGAAGCTTTTGTTCCGGAACTCCCTGTGGGAAGAATGCCACATAAGAAGGTCTTTTCAGACAAAATGACAGAATGTATGACGAAATCTTATTCCGCAGTGGAGTAAACGCAAACAACTGATTGCTGAATATATTTGCCTCGGAGCTCATTGCTGACAATTCGAACACAGAGGCAGGCAGCATATTGTTACAATCTCAACCAAATAAACATGAGTATATTGGCTAAAAATTTCTAGCAAGCTGTAAGTAACAGTTCCTAACCCAATAGAGATCAAGACCCAAACGGAAGGTGGTTTATGAATATCGATCCTATCATGAATTGGAGTTGTATTGAAAGCTTGGAGCCATGAGCTGCCCCAGACAGACTACTTCACACTACGAAGGATCATCATCAACAAAAAGAAGGTTCTCGATGATAAAGAAAACCATAAAAAAGAAAAACAGCATCCCCTTTCTTCACAATCATATCACAGCTTCCACATAACTAATCCTATTTTTAGATTTTGAGAGGGATTATTCTTATTTAGATCATAATCACTAGAAGAAAATTTAGAACATATCAATACACCAAATAAAATTAAACGCTTCTTCTTTTTCTGTAAATTGCAAAAAATGAGACATAACATTGACATACTAGGAAGAGGATAGTGCTGTCAAAATAGGGATCTGGATCCCCCATTCTTCCTACTGCATTTGCTTATAAGCATCGAATTGGAGTGCAGAAACGAAATCGATGCGTTCAAGACCAAAGGACTTACCCAAACCCATAGAAATCTGACCGTAGATGGAAGAACGAACCGCGGCAGTCAGCAAATGAAAGCGAAAGTGGATCGATTTCACTTCATTGGATCCGAACGCCGTCGACGTAGATGAGAGGGATGTCTTGGATGAGGGGCCAATAGTCGCCACCGAGGTTTGAGCATCGGTCTTCCAGAATCTCGCATCCTTTTATAAACAATATTTGGAGGGAGGGAGGTAGGCCATCCTCTGGCAAGTACCTCAACTTCGGGCAATCGTGGATCCGTAACTCTTGGAGAGAGGAGAGATGGTTGCGAAGACCGCTCGACAGTCTTTCCACGTTCTTCATCTCTCCAATGGCAAGTTTGGTTAGAGAGGAAGGGAAGAGAAGACTCCACGCATCCTCCTCCTCCTCGTTCTCCTCCGAAGGAAACCGCACCTTCTCTCCCTCCCCTCCCATGCTTACTCCGTCAATTCCCAGACTCTCGAGGGAAGCGAGCATGTGTAGGCCCCATTCTCTCACTGGCTGCTTCAGGTTCTCGCACTCATAAATGTAAAACGACTGCAAATTGGGAGGCAAATCCCCTTTGGGGAAGGATTTGATATTTTCACAACCCGTAATATATAGATACCGGAGGGAAGTAAGACGATGCCACTCATTTGGTAGGGACTTTATCTTCGGGCACATATAAAGTACGAGTCTCGATAGGGACATGGGAAGGGGAGGGAAGTCCTCCACCTCCAATTCTGGACAGCGATTTATATCCAATTCAGTGAGATTTTTACAGCTGGCAATGTTACAGTTGGTGATAGACTTTATCTTCGGACATTGACTGAGAGCGAAATTCGACAGGGTGAGAGGAAGGGGAGGGAAGTCCTCTATCTCTAGTACCGGACAATTAAATATGCTCAAATGAGTGAGATGGGCAAGCGTGTGAAGACGCTGCGGTAGGCTTCCTAGATTCTTACAAGAGCTAATAGCCAAAGATTTCAGTCCCTCGTACTTCTCAATACAAAGTTCCCTCAGAGCGGCAAGTCCACCCTCGGCAAACGGAAATGATATCCGAGAATCCTGATCATTAATCCCCAGATATTCAAGTTGTGACATCGTGTTATTGCTGTCGGGGTCATCTTGAGGAATGGTTAGTCCCATGATTTTTGGACAATTCGAAATGCTCAAATGTCTAATTGCATGCATCTTGCTTGGAAGCCTTTCTAAACTCATGCAATTCCTCAATTCCATCCTTTCAAGGTTGCACAACAGCTCTATCTCTCCTTCTTCCGCCACAAATGATGTGAATCGTGGACAATTTCCGATGACTACACTCTCGAGGCAAGTAAGTTTTCGCGTTTCATTTCCATCTTGCCACATGTAGGTTAGCTCGCCACAGCCTCCTATATCGAGCTCCTTCAACTTACGCATGCAGCTCATAAACCCTGGATCAAAGCAAACAAGCTCCGCAAGATTTTCAATTTTCAATATGGTTAGAGAAGTTAGGTTGACGAAACTCTTTAAGATCTCCATGTTGCAATCCTCAAAATATAACTCATGAAGAGATGGAAGACAAACCACACCGGTTGAGTCATTCAAACGCGGGCAATGATAGATTTTGAGCTCTAAGAGATGATCAAGTTGATAAGGTAATGTCCCGACCAATGAAGGACAACTTTGGACAACAAGATGCTGAAGACAGGGGAATGGGACTTCTTCTTTTGGGCCCCCGGCGTAAGGAAACCAATCCTTCCATGCCAACATATCTTTCAACTTCAAAGTTGTTAAGGATGAGAAAGGCCTTTTACCTCCGTAAAATTCGGAGCCTATCATTTTCACTGCATGCAGACCTTCAAGAGATAATTCTTTAAGTGAAGGTAGTTGTCCAAGTGAGGGTAGCGATATAACATTAGGACAGTCCCGCAAGCACAAAGACACTAATTTAGAATATGATGAACCATCTAACCACGATGGAAATGTTGAACCACCGTAGTACGAGATAGTGAGATTTTCAAGATTAGTGTGAGGTTGCAAAGAGTTAAGCATCTGCATTTCATGATTCCGGAGATTTCCCAAATGTTCATCCCAATGCAAGGATAAGTTGGTAAGGCCTTGCTTTTGAAACAAATTAGCATCAACTGCATCTCTAACTTTTTCCACCTTTTGTAATTCTGATATGAATAATTCTCCTTGAAGATGTGGCAGGTTCTTTAACTCCTCTAACTTCGACCCTTTATCTAGTCCTACCACAAACTTGGATAAGATAGTAAGATTTTTCAAATTACCGATACCCAACGGCATCTCTTTTAGACTCATCGTATCTCTAATATCAAGAATCTGTAAGCTGACCAACTTTGTGATACCTTGAGGCAACTTTGAAAGGTTATGACAACTTCTTAAGATCAAAGCTTGTAATTTGCACAAGCCGACAATTGACTCAGGTAGCCTTTCGATATGAGTGTATGAGAGATTGAGATTTTGAAGATGTTTTAAATCACCAACACAATTCGGTACCTCTACAATGGAACAGTGACATATTGAGAGCACCCTCAAATACTTCAATTCTGCTAGCAAGTCATGTAGCACCTTGTTGGAAATATTGAAAACGCCCCCACTAGATCCAACATGCACTAGAATTAAACTTCTTAGTGCCTTCATTCTGTGATATGCCCTCAAGCATTTTGACGTAACGTAATGCGGTAAGACGAATGATGCGTAACGAGTTTTTTCAAGAGATGATGCATCATGTTCATTGCTTGCCTGCTGAGGATCCCCTGAGCTAAAGCAAGTCCCACCCGCAATTGACTTTGCTAGATCATTCAAAAGATCATGCATTGAAAACTTAGATGCGTTAACACTTGATTGTTGAAGAAATGATCTGGATACTAACTCATCAAAGTGATTCCGTCCAGATCTCAAGATATTCTCCTTTGCGTTTCGTCCATCTATAAAGCCCTCCGCTATCCATATGAGTATCAGCTCATCCCTCTCGATTTCGTAATCTTTGGGAAATACTGCACAATAAGCAAAACATCTCTTCAAATAGGAAGGAAGATGTACATAGCTCAATTTTAAAACGGGGAGAACCTCATCCTTCTGTGCCATCGGAAGACCCCATATTCTGTTATTTAAGGTAACTTCCCATTCATCAGGATTCCTTTTATTACGTAGGGCACCGCCCAACATCTTCGCTGCCAAAGGTAAACCTTTACATCTTTCAGCTATTTTCTTGCCTATTGTTTCAAGTTCCGGGTATTTCTCAAAATTTGTTGCTCCAAGAGCATGAAGGGCTAATAACCTTGTACAATTATCAAGGGACAACACCTCCAAAGGAAACGGCGTAGCTCCTGTTATGGACACAACAGTACTGTTGCGAGTCGTGATGATAATCTTGCTTCCCTTAGCCCCTGATTCAAATGGCTTTAAGAGGGCAGTCCATTTTCCGTACTCTTCATTCCAGATATCGTCTAAAACCACAAGAAACTTCTTCCCGGATAGATTTTCCTTCAACTTAACTTGAAGCCCGTTAAAATCTTCACGCTCGCAAGACGACCTGGTGATTGATTGCAAAATAGTCTTTGTTATGTCAAGAATATCAAAAACATCCGACACACAAACCCACGCTCTTATCTCGAAATAGCTATCTACTTTGGTATCATTATACAGCTCCTGAGCAAAGGCCGTCTTTCCAACACCGCCCATCCCAACAATGGGGACTATCTTCAGCGTGGCATCAGAATTTTCGACCTCACTTATCAATAGTTCAAGTATCTCTGTTTTTTCCTTCTCCCTGCCAAAAAATTGAGGCTCAAGAAGAGAACTAGTGGGGTCCCTTTTTTTGTTGAAGTTGGACATGTCTGCAACATTCTCTTTCAAGCTTAGACGAGCCTTCGTGGTGACAATCGCTTTCAACCTGTCATTGATCTCTCGTACCTTAGTTTCTGACACGAGCGAGCACAGGTTTGGATTCGATCCGGAGGATTTATCTCGGACAAAGAAAGAGAACTTCCATTTCTCCGGACCTTTGCTTGCGCTGGATTTCGCCTCTGAGTCAACCTGACCGGCTTGGATCACGAACTCATCAAGCAAGTCTTCCATGTCATAGGCCAAGTCCCTAACATCGTCCAGCCACAGTTTCACTAGAGGCTTACCCCTGAGTTGCCTGTCCTCTGCATCAGCCAACACTGCATTGATTGTGACCAGCATCTCCTCCCACTCCTTGAGCAGGGCGGTGCTAATTCCTTCCCGTTGTGCATAGCCCAATGCGAGAGAAGCCAACTTGTCGAACAGGACCTGAAAGAGGGAAGCCAAGAAGGAACCCAAAACGATCTCTCCAATGGCCATGGGTGAATCGGTCACTGTAGAGAACGACAAATGTGTTAAGGTGAAACAAAGTAAAAATGAGCTAATGAAGAGAGAAAACAACGAAGTCGAGGAAGACCAAGATGTTCACTTACCAAAAAAAATAAAGAAAGACCAAGACTTTCAAGGGATGCACACCAAAGGTTAGACAAATCAAAATAAAATGGTTTTTGTCCACGAGTGCTTGCTTCGTCAATTGTTCTCATCTTTCTTCAGATCGAGACTTTTCTTGTAGGCATCCAAAACAAAGGATAAAAGGTGATTCTTCTACATATGACCAACTTAGAGCGCATGCATATTTTCGTCAAAAACTACATTGCTTACAAGTGTTTTGTTGGCTTTTTTCGCATCCGTATATTATCAGTATCCTTATGATTTCAATGTCTTTTTTTTTTGCTTTATTGGTGAATATGCTATCAATGTAGGCTTTTTATGTGGCGGTTATAGTGCTAAAAATTCACACGTGTTTAAGATATAAGAATATTATCAATTCTTCCTTCAATGCGAATGAGCATGTAAAGTCATCAAATACGGCTAACTTTTTCTGCTCAATAAGGAAGACAAAGCACATGGTTCTGGCTAAACAAGAAAAACGATCGGGCACACCAACTAATCTATTATGCAAGTTGCTTTATCTTCATCTGGAAATTGTGAACCCGTCAAATATCACCCACTGACAATATATAATCTATTTAAAATTATACTTTAAGCTTCACACTAATAAACAGGAAATCGTGTTACAAAAGATGGCGATTCTCCTATCATCCCTGATCATTTACTCTTACCTCAATAGCCTTTTTCGACCAAGAAAAAAAGCCTTCAGCAGATTATTGCTGCCCAACAAATATAAGAGAGTTTCTTTTAGAAGTGTACAATATAAAATGAAAACTTGGGCTTTTTAGGGTTGAACAATATGCGAAGTCTGCTTGATACGAGGTTAATGCGCATTATAAAAGATGAACAATCTCAAAAACGTTTATGACGTAGAAATACCTTTTTTTCTAACAAAACACGAGTCTATGCGTGTTCTTTTTCTAACAAAGCACAATTCTGATTTTAATAATTCAAAATTTAATTCTTCAACACGAACAACTGGACATTTTTCACTGTCTTGAAAGAAAATACATGGATTAGTTGTCTTGCACTGAACTATCATCGATTTTCGCATGATGAAAACAAGTCGTTCACACGCAACACCCTTGGGGCTTCGGCAAGAATTACTTCAAGAATTACACTGGCACACATTAAAAGAATACTAAATCACAAACACCTTATTAATTCATCTTACCCCTTTCGGTTGATGGTGAATCCACTACATCTATATAATAAGGACTTTTTATTATAAGAGCGAATATGCGAGAAGACACAACAAAAGTTATTTATTTTATTTGGCACCACAAAATTATGGCAAACGTGACTTTCCCACTAATCTTTGCTGAAGAGGAATGAAGCTATCGTCTTGCGATCCAATTTCATGGATAACAATTCGAATACATTGACGGTATAAAATAATTACTTTGCGAGAGGGATAAAAATACCGATTCCATTATAAATGAATACTTTAGATCTTGGGATTGCTAATCGTGTAAAATCATTTCACTTCAGTGTGTGTTAAGTAAAAAGAACAATGATAGAGAGATTAAAAATTAATCTTAATGTCCTAATATTAGTATCTAACAAAAATTGAAGTAACAATTTTTTGTTATTAAACTTGACATCAAGTTTTTGACATCAACTTTAATCAGGATTATAGATAGGCATGAAATCGGTTTAAGAACCAAAATAATGTTGCTGTTGCTGCCTCTTCTTTTGCTCAAAATATTGTTTTTGCCTCCATTACTAGAAAGATTTCAGAAAGAATAGGTAGTTGCTCTCATTTAATAAATGCAAATCCGATGCTTTAGGTAGCGAAATTCTTGCTGCATCAGTTTGAGGGAAAAACAGAGCAAGTAGATAGATGTCTCTTACCTATTCGAAATAGACTTTCTGGAGCAGATCGGTGAACAGGATGAGATCAACGACAGCAATTCAACAAGCACAAGCACTAGGTTTGGACGAGCAAGAGGAGAACACTATTGAGCAGGGGCACAAGCATGGATTATGGTGAAGCCAAGTGATAATGAGCGAATGGAGAGAGAAAATTATCAAGTTCAAGAAGACCAAGACTTTCACCTACCAAAGAGTTGAAAAGAAGACCAAGACTTTTAAAGATGCACATAAAAAATTAGAGAAATCAATATAAAATACGTTTTGTCCACAAGTGCTCGTTTCGTAATATTTAGAGAATATCCCCATAGACTTTATTGGACACCATGTGCTTTTTGTCCGGAAAGATGTGCTTTTTTGTTTGGAAAGCGAAGTAAAAGTAGATACTTTCCACGCGTTGCATGTGACGCAAAAGTGAAGCACTTTCAAGAAAAGAGTGCTGATGGGAAAGAAACTTTAATAAAATCCGGGAAGACCAAGACTTTGCAGGCCGCAAATATTCTTAGCATGATATTGGGGATTTTCTTTTGTAAGATTATTCATTCTTCCATGTCAAAGAGATCAGGAGATAGTTGTTGATTTCATGCCCCAAAAAAAATCATTGGCTAAATGTCAAGCACATTGGGAGACTAAGTTATCAATATCGATTTCCTTTAAATTTTCTTCTTGGAACCATGTGATCATAGAAATTAGAGCTTTACACTCGAAATATTTTAGTGGATTATCAAACATTTGATTGAAGATTTCTCTGTACTCGATTTACTTTCGATTGGAAATTATATTAATAATATTATCATAAGATATAACTGTACGGGCACACATAATATAAAACTTTACTGGGATTTCTTAACCAATTACAACAGAATTGCCAATATAATATTTTTTGTAGATAATTTGTTCACACTCTTTGAGAGACAAATGATATCGTCTGGAACGTCTATTTTGACCTGCAAGATACAAAATTGAAACTACAAGGAACATATCGGACGCCAATGTAGACAGTTAATGGCTATTTAATAGTGTTGGTGTCATATTGATATTTTTTCGTTCTCAATTTCAATAGAGGTCTTGCGTTGAACCACATTTGAAATGTTGAGATAATTTATTGAACGGAAAAAAGCTTGAGATACTTGATTGCCAGCACATAGGTAAGAAATATCATGCACCTCATTATCTGGTTTTATTTAAGTCAATTTGATAAGTTTTGGAAGCCATAGATATAGAATGAAATTGATGGGGTTCCTTTATGGAGTTTTTATTTAAGTCAATTTAATTTTGGTGCTTTTCACTGGCTTTATGGTAAGTCTTGTATTTGTTTTTTTTTTTAACTTTTGATAGTCAATTAAAATTGACATTGCTTGCAGTTGAGGCCTCTACGGACCAAATTAGATTATTGCATTTGACGATTTTAATTTTGTTGTAGGTAATTATGTTTGGTTCAAGTATGCCAAGTTCTAAGGTTGGAGTGATATTTTGAAACAATCAACCACGGAAACAGCTCATTTTGTTCTAATTCCTAATTTTTAATTACATGTAATTTGAAAATATGTGCGCAATATTCATATGTCTACATCTGTGCGTAGCACGCGTACGAACATTAGTTATCTAATAAAATTTCATATTTCATAGTCAATTGACCTCATTAATTGGGTTCACATCTAAATAGATTTTTAGATTAAATCATCTGTTTTTTTAATTAATAACTTTTAAGGAAAGGGAAAGTAAATAATTGATAGGGCTCATCAAGGAGTGACCAACTATATATATACACACAAACAAGTAGAGTGCCCACGCTAACGCATCGGCTTATAATCAGTATGTACGTATTTTATAAATTGAATCTTTCAATTTAGGAACTCATGAGCAACAGTTGAAATTGTCCAGAACTTATTGAATTTTTCCTATCTTTTTGCTTAGTTCTATCTTATTTTAAGAAGAAGTGGGCTGATGGAGTGAGAAAACTATTTAGTCCAGGAAGACCAAGACATTCGCCTACCAAAAACATTAAACAAAGACCAAGACCAAGGCTTCTTCTTTTTTTTTTTTGCATCCGTACATTCTCAGTAACCTTAAGATTTCAATGTCTTTGTTTTATGCGTTATTGGTGAATATGCGATCAATGTAGGCTTTTACATGGCAGTTACATGCTGAAAATTTGCAGCAAGATGGGCAGCAATGATATATTGAAGGGTGCTGAGGTAGTAGTTGATGACCGAGAATCGTGGTCCTTTGCACGATTTTCCTGTTCATAAGTGTGATGCCTACAGTATTTAGTAGATTGTACATTGTTAGTTGGTGATAATGATCAATGAAGTTGACCACAATTAATAGGACCGACCTACAAGCATCTTTGTGCAACTTGCATCGACTGAAATAAATGTTGACGATCCACCTGACAATGGCATCTTACTTTCTATTATACATCTACAGGTTATCAAAGATAGGTAACTTTGATTGTTCGATAAGGAGAATAGAAACCCGTGCTTTGGGCTAACAAGAAAAAGAGTTGGGTACACCAACAAATCCATGAAGCAAATTGCTTAATTTTACTCTGAAAATAGTAGACGATTCACAAATAACCAACTAATCCATTAAGCAAGTTGCTTTGGGCTAACTTTTTCTGTTCAAAAGACCACGATTCTCCTATTAAGCGATTCACGATCATCAACAACTACTTTAGCACCCTTCAGCAGATCATTGCCGCCCATTTTGCTGCGAACTTTTAGCACTGTAGTTGCCACGTAAAAAGCCTATAACTTTAAAAAAAAAAAAAAAAAACCAACAAAACACTTGGTAAGTATAAATTTTTGACGAAGATATGCATGCCCTCTAAGTTGGTCATGTAAAGAAATATCACCTCTTATTCTCTTTCGAACGACAACCAAAAGTCTTGATCCGGAGAAAAAGGAGAACAGTTGATTTATCTAACTCAAGGACACAATGTGCATCAAAACATCGTCTCTTCAATCTAACTCCAATTGCTTGTCGAGATAGCATACTCATAAAGTAGTTTTCATCAGGAAAACCAAGACTTTACTGGATATCATGTACTTTTTTTTTGTCTAGAAAGTGAAGCGAAAGTGAAAAAGAGAAAGTGGGGAAGAAACGGTAATCAAATCCAGGAAGACCAAGACTTTCCAAGATGCAAATTGGCTTCACTGCTTCACTTTTCACATCCCTCCTCTTCCATCCCTATATGACTGTCTCTTTTTCCATTACTAGTAGACTTTCCACGCGTTACATGTCTTGCTTCAAATTAACAATACTATAAATTTAGTATAAGAAGGAAGCTAAGAAGGAAGCCAAGAAGATCTTTCAATGGCCATGGGTATATCAGTCACTGTAGAGAACACCCAAGGGTTATGGTGAAGCAAAGTGAGAGAAAACTATAAAGTCCAGGAAGACCAAGACTTTTCACCTACCGAAAAGATCAAACGAAGACCAAGACCTTTCAAGGATGCTTTCTGTCCACAAGTGCTCTCTGTTCATGTACATAAACCATAAACTCAGGAAGGACCAAGACTTTAGTGGACATCACGTACTTTTTTGTCTAGAAAGTGAAGCAGAAGAGAAAGAGAACAAATGAAAAAAGACGAGACTTTACAGGACGCAAATTGGCATTGTCGCTTCGCTTCTCACACCCCTCCTCTTCCATCCATCCCTGTGTGAATGCCTTTGTTTTCCGATTACTAGTACATGCCATGCTTAAAATTGACTGTCACCATAATTTTCGATCACAAAAATTCAAAAAATAAAGTATTGTTCTTGCCCCTTTTTTGGCCAATTCCATTGCTTTCCCCTTGATCTCCTCACCCAAATCAACAAAAGTATATGCTCAGGTAGTTTGGGACACAAGTGCATGTAATTGGAGATTTAATATATATTTAAGCCTAAGAATCTTCTTTTCTTCTGCTTGAAATATTTTAATGGATTATCAAACATTTGATTGAAGATAGAATTTTTGTATTTACTTGATTTTCTATCGGTTGGACATTATGTTAATAAATAACATTATTATTACATGTAACTCTTCAGGCATACATAATTTAAAACTTTACTATGATTTCTTCTTATTCATTTGAAGAAATTCGCACATTTATATGTTCTTTATTTGTCTGTCGGGTCTACCAAATACAACTAATTTGCCAAATAGTGCATTTTTTTAGATAATAGTTTGTATATTTTTTCGTAAGCCAATAAATGTTTCTTGATTTTCTTCATAATATATTATTACAAAGCGATCATTAATGATAGTTGTAAAGTCATGGGATAATTATCTTAAATATCCTAAACCTATTGTACAACGGCCACTTTAATCCTAAACTTTTCAATTTAGCCAATTTAGTTCTAAACCTTTGACAATTTGTCAATATAGTCATTCCGGCCAATTTTAGCCTAAAGTTGCTGATGTGAATGCTAGCTATCCTCCGTAACATGATCACAAATTCAGCATTTTCTGGCCAAAAAGGATTATATTGGCGAATTATTAAAAATTTTATGACTAAATTGGTCAAATTAAAAAGTTTAGAACTAAATTGATCGATATATAATAACTTTAGGACTTTTTCGACAAATTTTCCCATAAAGTTACATACATATGTCAAAAGTATTGAAGTAGTAATGATATTTTCTTGGGACAAGGCTATAGCACTTCTGTCATCCATTCAAATTTGGGTGCTTTTCACATGAACATCAGTGGTAAGAGGAATGAAAATGAAATATTTTTTGTTCACAAGTGCTTGTTTCGTAGTATGTAGAGAACATCCTCGGAGACTTTACTTCATATCACGTGCTTTTTTGTCTGGAAAGGAAAGTGAAGCAAAAGTGAAAAAGACCTAACGGGAAAGAAACTTCAATAGATTCCAGGAAGACCAAGACTTTGGCTACGTGAATGTCTTTGTTATCATTACTAGTAACACTTCCATGCATTATATCAGTATCAATCTCTATTTTTTTTTCAAATTTTGCTCAATTTGAAGTTGCATCAAATAAATTGCCATGTCATAATGATTTTGCTGACATGGTTCGCTTAACCTACAAGTTAGGTGATGAGGAGAGAGAGTGTGTGTTGGCTTAGACAATCTTAGCATCATTGTCTCTGCTGTCTGACGCGGCAACATCTCAAGATATCATAATAGACGCCAATATGGACATTTAATAGCTATTTAATAGTGTTAGCGTCGTCTCAACGTTTTCCATCCACAATTTTAGCAAAGACCTTACATTGACCCACACTTGAACAATTGAGGTAATTAATTGAACGAAAAAAAAATTCACTTACTTGATTGCCAAAGGAATTATAGTTCAAGTACTTATGATGTCATTGTCCCCACAAGTTTAACATACAAGCATTAGTCTAGGTTCAAATCTCAAACATACTTTTGTTTACGCGATACCTGTTCTACAAATGCATCCTCTTTGATTCGTTGCTCGGTCTCACTTTATTAACCATAAAACGAATGGCATCTTCTGCTGGAAATCCTAGTTATTCTTAGCATGATATTGGGGATTTCTTTTGTAAGATTATTCATTCTTCAAGAGAACAGGAGATAATTTTGTTAATTTCAAGCGCAAAAAAAATTATTGGTTAAATGTCAGGCACATTGGGAGACTACAAAGTTCTCAATGTCGATTTCCTTTAGATTTTCTTCTTGGAACCATTCGATCATAAAAATTGGAGCTTTACACTTGTAATATTTTAGTGGATTATCAAAGAGATGATTGAAGATGTCTTTGTACTCAATTTACTTTCGATTGAAAATTATATTAATAATATTATCATCAGATATAACTGTACGGGCACACATAATACAAAACTTTATTAGGATTTCTAAACCAATTACAACGAAATTGCCTAAATAATATTTTTTGTAGATAATTTGTTCCAACTCTTCGAGAGATGGATGATATCGTCTAGAATGTCTACTCTGGCTGCAAGATACAAAATTGATACCACAAGGAACATATAGGACGCCAATGTAGATAGTTAACGGCTATTTAATAGTGTTAGTGTCATATCGACATTTTTCATTCACGATTTCAATGGAGGTCTCATGTTGACCCACATTTGAAACGTCGAGATAATTTATTGAACGGAAAAAAACTTGAGATACTTGATTGCCAGCATATAGGTAAGAAATTTCATGCACCTCATTATCTGGTTTTATTTAAGTCAATTTGATAATTTTTGGAAGCCATAGATATAGCATGAAATTGATGGGGTTCGTTTATGGAGTTTTTATTCAAGTCAATTTAATTTTGGTGCTTTTCACTGGCTTTATGGTAAGTCTTGTATTTGTTTTTTTTAACTTTTAATAGTCAATTAAAATCGACATTGCTTGCAGTTGAGGCCTCTACGGACCAAAGTAGATTATTGCATATGGCGATTCTAATTTTGTTGTAGGTAATTATGTTTGGTTCAAGTATGCCAAGTTCTAAGGTTTGAGTAATATTTGGAAACAATCAACCAGAGAAACAGTTCATTTTGCTCTAATTCCTAATTTTTAATTACATGTAATCTTAAAATATGTGCGCAATATTCATATGTCTACTTGTGTGCGTAGCACTTGTATGAACATTAGTAATATAATAAAATTTCATATTTCATAATTAACTGACCTCATTAATTGGGTTCAAATCTCAATAGATTTTAGATTAAATCATCTTGTTTTTTTTAATCAATAACTCTTAAGGAAAGGGAAAGTAAACAATTTTAGGGCTCATCAAGGAGATGGGTGCAACTTTATATATATATATATATATATATATATATATATATATATATGTATGTATGTATGTATGTATGTATACACACACTAGCAGAGTACCCATACTACGCATCGGCTTATAATCAGTGCATATATATTTTATGAATTGAATCTTTTGATTTAGAAACTCATGAGCAACAGTTGAAATTGTCCAGAACTTATTGAATTTATCTTATCTTTTTGTTTAGTTCTATCTTATTTAAAGCAGAAGTGAGCTAATGGAGAGAAAAAACTATTTAGTCCAGGAAGACCAAGACATTCACCTACCAAAAACATTAAACAAAGATCAAGACCAAGGCTTTTTTTTTTTTTGCATCTGTACATTCTCAGTAACCTTATGATTTCAATGTCTTTGTTTTATGCATTATTGGTGAATATGCGATTAATGTAGGCTTTTACGTGGCAGTTACGTGCTGAAAATTTGCAGCAAGATCGGCAATAATGATCTGCGGAAGGGTGTTGACGTAGTAGTTGATGACCGAGAATCGTGGTCATTTGCACGATTTTCCTGTTCATAAGTGTGATGCCTACAGTATTTAGTAGATCGTACATTTTTAGCTGGCCATACCTTACCCTTTTACTTGTCTAGTGATGAATGAAGCTTACCACAATTAATAGGACCGACAAATAAGCATCTTTGTGCAACTTACACCGACTAAAATAAATGTTGACGATCCACCTAACAATGGCATCTTACTTTCTATTATACATCTACAAGTCATCTAAGACAGCGAACTTTAACTATTCGATAAGGAGAACCAAAAGCACGTGCTTTGGGCTAACAAGAAAAAGAGTTGGGTACACCAACGAACCCATGAAGCAACAAAACACTTGGTAAGTTATAAATTTTTTATGAAGATAGGCATGCCCTCTAAGTTGGTCATGTGAAGAAATATCACCTCTTATCCTCTTTCTAACGACAGCCAAACGTATTGATCTGGAGAAAAAGGAGAACAGGTAATTTATCTAACTCAAGGACACAATGTGCATCAAAACATGGTCTCTTCAGTCTAACTCAAATTGCTGGTCGTGATAGCATACACCATAAAGTACGTTCCATCAGGAAGACCAAGACTTTACTGGATATCATGTGCTTTTTTTTGTCTAGAAAGTGAAGCAAAAGTGAAAAAGAGAAAGTGGGGAAGAAACTGTAACAAAATCCAGGAAGACCAAGACTTTTCGGGACGCAAATTTACTTCATTGCTTCACTTTTCACATCTCTCCTCTTCCATCCCTATGCAAATATCTCTTTTTCCATTACTAGTAAAATTTCCACGCGTTACATGTCTTGCTTCAAATTAACAATACTATAAATTAGTACAAGAAGGAAGCTAAGAAGGAAGCCAAGAAGATCTTTCAATGGCCATGGGTGAAACAGTCCTGTAGAGAACAACCAAGGGTCATGGTGAAGTAAAGTGATAACGAGCTAAAGGAGAGAGAAAACTCTAAAGTCCAGGAAGACCAAGACTTTTCATCTACCAAAAAGATCAAACGAAGACCAAGACCTTTCAAGGATGCTTTCTGTCCACAAGTGCTCTGTCCATGCACATAAACCATAAACTCAGGAAGACCAAGACTTTGCTGGACAGCATCACCTACTCTTTTGTCTAGAAAGTGAAGTAGAAGCGAAAGAGAGCAAATGAAAAAGACAAAAGACTTTGCAGGAAGCAGATTGGCATTGTCGCTTCACTTCTCACACCCCTCCTCTTCCATCCATCCCTATGTGAATGCCCTTGTTTTTCCCATTACTAGAATTTCCCCACGCGTTACATGTCATGCTTAAAATTGACTGTGTCTACAATTTTTGTCCAACTCTTTTCATGCCTAATCGTACTGTGATTTTTCATTCAGTAATCTCTCTTGTACTTGCCTATTAGAATTATGTCTAGATTTCCATGTATCTTTTCAAATTTAAGTTCAATAAAAGAAAAAATAAGCAAAGAGAAAAAACAGCAAGAACTTAAAAAAGGTAGAAACAAAAAAGTATGAATGGGGGCAAGAGAGCACACGACTGTCCCACGGCCACTGCCATGCCGTTGCCATCAGCAACGCTGCTTATAGTCACCTTCATAGACAACATTTCCTTGAGATGTTATTCTTAGAGCAGTTTAGGAGTTAAAGAATAATGACATCGTAAGTACCGAAGCTCTTGTTCTGTTTACAATCGAGTACCTGAACTTTTTTTTTTCAATCAAGAACCTCAAATTTTCAATTTTGGCTCAATTTGAGGTATCAGTTAAATAACTTGCCATGTTATATGATTTTGCTAACGTGACTCGCTTACTGAACAAAAGTTAAACATAATAGTTGACATGGCTCCTTACCCTAAAGATTGAGTGATGAGGATAGAAAAAGTGTGCTGACTTAGACGATCTTAGTGTCTAATATATCTCGGCTAACGTGGTAGCATCTCGAGGTACCATATCAAACATCAATATGGACAGTTAACGACTATTTAACAGCATTGGTATCATATCAACATTTTTTGTCCGCGATTTTAATGGAAGTCTTGACCTACATTTGAAAAGTTGAGGTAATTGACTGAACAAAAAAAAATGTAGTTACTTGAATTACAAAAAGGCTAATAATTCAGATACTTGCTCATCGTTCCCAAGAATTTATCATGCGACGATTAGTCTAGATTCAAATCTCAAATGTACTTTTGATTACACGATATTTATTCTACGAACTCATCCTCTCGATTCATTGCTTGGTCTCGCTTAATAATCTCTTTTTAAAGATTTTTCATTATTTCATGTGAAAGAGAACATTCATTAGTTTTGTTAATTTCGAGCCGTTGCAAAAAGATTTCAGTGGCTGAATGTCAAGCACATTCGAAGACTATAAAGCTCTTGCCCCTTTATTTTGGCCAATTCCATTGCTTTCCCCTTGATCTCCTCGCCCAAAACTAATAAAGTATGTGCAGGGAGTTTGGCCAAAATGATCGAACCGGTTTGATCACCGGTTCACTCGCTAAACCAGCGAAACAGACTGGTTTTCAAAATTGGATCGACCCAATTTTAGAGTCTCACAGGTACAGAATTGGGCTTCTGGCTGCTGTTGCACACGGAGGGGCTCGAGCACCTAACTCAATGGACCGCCGGCACTCCGCTTTACCCCCAAGGCCAAACGATTCACGTGCTCACAGCCAATCGACAACATTACATACCTATAATCGTTTGCTCATGACATCATCACTGGTTCACCCGTCGTCCAAGCGCTTGGACCGGTTGAACCACAAACTGGTAACCTAATTGGTTCTCTAAGCGGCCCAAGTTTGAAAACATCAGTGCAAAGCTCAATCCCTACTTAAAACAAGTAAATATGACTATCTTATATGAATTGAGTTGGAATGAACGAAATACTTTTACGCCATAACAAAAGATGATAGCAAGTGATTATACCTGATAGAGGTTCAGCTATTATAGAATTACTGTCGTGGATGCTCCTCTCTCACTCCTTGAGCATACGAGATGCAGGAAAACCTTCACAATGCTCCAAATGAGATTGATGCTCAACCTCCACGTCCTACATTACTCCTGTCGTTGCTCTAGTTGGAGCTATGGCCAATGCTTGACCTTTCCCTTAAAAATTTCGTAACCAACAGTAAGTCTTTGCTTTGGCATCCCACAAACTTCAATTTAAGATGCTAATAAATCTTAGTCAAGAGAGAAAAAAGTTAACATCGACAGCTTCATTTAGTTTACAATCAATAATGAAAAATAGTGCTATAACACCAGAAAAAAAAGGGAAAATCAGAAAGGGCTCCACCAACGAAGATAAAAGATTACACGAAGAAACAGCAAATTTAGAATTATTTTGAGTATGCGCTAAATCAAATAAGGAAACTTAACTCTAAATATCAATATATCCTCCACAAAAAGAAGAGAAAGGATCTTTCTAGTTTATTTGACTAAAAAGTGCCGTACCCAGGAACATCATCTCTTACATCGCCCTTTCCACCCTAATCTTCGATATGCAGGGTGACATCCGTCCACCATCACCTCAGCGTCACTTCTAATCACATTTCAGCATCGCTAGAGGCATATAATGAGCTCCAAGCACTTGATCATTTCCCTTTCTATGTAGTGGACAATTTGTCACCCTTGTCATAGATGTCCCCAAGTTTCATGTGCTCGACAACACGCCATTCAACTATGACAAAAAAACTTTCTTTACCTGCGATGCTAAGCCAAAAGGTTTGTCAACTACATTGTCACCTTTGTGTATCAAATGCAAAAAATATTGCAAGGGTAAGGCCAAAGTATCTTTTCTGCTGCTTCTGTTTATGTTAAGTCAAACAAATTTAAATAACACAACCTTATATGCTCTTAGGAACTTAGTCGAGCATGGCATGCTATCGAGAGTTCATAGGACTATGTCAGGCTTGAGAAGAGATCTAATTGCCACAATCAAAAGAAAATTATTTCAGTGTCATCTCGAATAAACCTCAAAAGAAATGAAATCTATAAACCATGGTATTTGGTTATAAAGCAAAAACCAGAAAAATGCAGTGCAAAATATTTTTAGCTATACAGTAGCAGTTCAGTTCGTCGCAGGCAGTTTAAGATATCATGGTTTTTATGAGCAAGAGAAGAAATCTAGTGGCAACATTTGAAAGCAAATTACTCAACATTGTCTCCAGTGAGTTTGCTAAGAATTTTGATAAGCAAAAGAAATTTATTGCAAAATGGCATCAAGCAGATGCTAGCCTGCGTAACAAATCATGAACACAATTCATGTTATGAGGTATAAGAAAGAATGCACGTTAGTAATGTCATTTCCACACAACCAAAAGCTGTGGAAAGCCATCTATGATTCAAACTAAAAAACCAGTCTTCCTATTTTCAAAGGCTCTCCTATTTCTTTCTTCCAAACAAATCAGTAAGCTAAAGAAATGAATCAACCATAAACACAGCCCAACATAAACAAAGAGTTATATAAACTACTTATCATTCGATGCTGGGTTCTAAAAAACAACAAAAGGAAGTTCTCTAGTAGAACCCAAAAACATGAGTGTGCCATAGTTTCATGGAGATTTTGAATAGAAATTGCAAGACCTATGGAAGAGGCAATCAGATAGAAAGCAAATGAAAGTATGTTGCAAAAGGAAGTTTTAGATATTGTGCACCTGAATTCACAGCGATGAACAGGGCATTACTGCAGGGTGAGCTCAGAATCTAATTTGAAACAACAATAGAAAGAACGTTAATTATTGCAGCGGCAGATAGGCTATGTTCTCCATGATTGCTACTACCCAATCATCTCTTTGACCCAACAATTGAGATTCAAATAACTTGCAGGGTTGTAAGTTCAACTTCAGAATAGCAGAACTCATTAACTCGGACCAATAACTGGGAATGAACCGGTCACCGTACATAGACTGCTTCTGATGTCCTTGATGGCACCAAGGCAGGCTGAGAGTTGCCAAAAGCATTATCTGCACATTTCTTAATCATTGATTCAGGAGTTCCAGTGGCAATGTTTAGGACTAACAAGGAATGAGATGGATCAGTCCGTTATTCGTTAACTTGGTTTATAGATGTAAGGACGAGTTTGTCTAATTAAATCTGTACAGAAAATACTCCAAACTTTGAACTTGTGAAGAAGAAGACTGGAAAGCAAGTAATCTTGACTGCTTGAACAAGAACATATGACCTTAAAATGAATCATGAGGCTTGTATTCATTGTTGATTTCATATATATCCATGAAGGAGCTGTCTCCAACTGCAGTATCCTCCAATTCGCTAATGGCTTCTTGTTGGTCAAGCTGCATAGGGATGCCTTCATCCTCAGAGTTACCCTCAAGAAAATCATTATCTTCCATATCCGATATGTCTGTAAAAGTTTCTATCTTTTTCTTCCTCCCTCTATAACCAATAAGGCTTAGGACTTTTTCCTTCCACAGAACCAGCGGACATTTCTGAATCAGCTCTGCACCTTCATAAGCTCCTGTCAAGAACACACTAAACCTGTTCCCCCTCTCAGAGACATAGAAAACGCCAAGATGCTTCAACAAGAGTCTCATCAGCTTCTGAGGCATCACGAATTCTCGTCGAAAGTGGGTGAGGTGATCGGTTACCAACCTCTTTTCCATTGTGAAGCTGAGTAGCTCATGCATCACTGCAATGGCCCTCTTATCGAATTCTTTTGATCCAGCTTGGAGGCCACGTGCATCAGCATAAGGAGATAAGTAAGATCTTTTTTGAAAGTGCTCAATCGACCCTCCATATCTATACACCTTCTTGTAACTGGCAGGAAACTTCAAGGGGAAAGATAGGGAAAGCAACCCTGGAGTATGAGAGGCAGATTCCGATACCCCCAATATGGCTTTCTCCAACTCTGTGATAGCCCAAGCAGGATTCCACTCTACAAGCTCGAGATAATCAACTTCATCTGGAGAGTTAACCACTTTGAAGTGCTGCGGATACTCGTGTACCCACTTGCTCCTAAAATCAGCTGGCAAACCAAACTCTCTCCTGAAATGAGCAATTTTGTCCAGAGGAAGCCGTTTATTGACCGACATCATCAACATCCTAGTCACGTATTCAGCAGCCGTGCCAGAGTGTTCCCTAATCAATCTCTCCTCTTCCTCTAACAAGTCTTCAGCTTCTTTAGTCATTCCACACCACAATACCCCTTTCTGATCCTTGTACAACTCAAACAGTTTCGGCGACTTCTGAATGAAGTCCACTATACTGTGTGGCTTGGGCAAATTAATTTGTCTCCGGTGTCGATCCAGCGACCTCACGGGGATTATCATCTCGGGTTCCTTCTTCAACATTTCCATCAGAACCAACACCTTAGACACCACTTTATGCTTCTCGGTGGCGATTTCGAGATCATGGACCCTCTTGTTCTTGCTCCTATCTTGCACTCTCTTGCTAGTGGTCATGAATCTACGCTGCGACCCCATAAGTACAACCTCACCAAAACTCCAATTTCTTCTCAGGGTAGGCGAACGCACTAGCGAGGTGACGAAGCATCCAAACTCTCTTGCCGCACTCCATTCGTTCGAGGAAGCTACGGTTTTAACAATGAATTGAAGACGGGTCATCTCGAGATGCTAATATGGCTTTGCTCCAAATTCAAGAAACAAGACCAAGAAAAGCAAATGCCTCTCACTGAGGACAGAAATCAAACAGCTTACGTGCAACGGAACGAGGAAGAACGAGAGGCCAAGACGAAGATATTGGAGAAGATCAGCGTAAATGCGCGATGACCACCTCTCTTGGATCACTCGATCAGCATCAGTTTTGACTTCAACAGAAGCCGGTCGGGATTTCAAGCGTGGTTTGTGCGGAGAATGAAGAAGAAGAGGAGGGAATGGGATTTCAAGCTTGTAGTTTTGGTTTTTGCGTTTTTTGTAGTAATAGAAATGATATTTTGATTTAAATAATTAAAAGAGCTCCAGGTCTTAAGGATGCGTTCGGTTCAGTTTTGCAAATGGGCATCGGAGAAATGCAAATATATTTAACTTTAAAGTCCCTTAGAAAATGCAAATTGCCTTCGGTAAAAACTCCTTTGTGAACCTTCTTTGGCCGAAGTAGTATTTGATAAATTTTATTTTGCAAAGAGTTTTGAGATTTTTTTTACTAAAAAAAGGGAGCTTACCAGAGCCGCCAATGGGCTATAGCCGCCAGCAGTCGTCGCCTGAGGTCGGGCGACTCCTGGCGAGGGTCGCGCAACCCCAGGCGACCTCAAGCGGCCGTCGCCGAGGTCGGGCAACCTCGCCGGCCTCTCGCCGGGGCTTCGCCATCTCAATCCGGCCTCGAGCAGCTCTAGCCGACCTCCCTCAACCCAAAGAAGCTGAACAGTCACAAGGGTCAAAATTGGAATATTAAAGAATTAGTTATGGTAGCTTGGGAAGAAAAAAATTGGTTTCAGCATTCGCAATGCTGACTTTCGGCCGAAAGCTTACTGGAAATGCTCGCCAAACACTTTAGCATTTCCTCAAGGGACTTTTGAGGTCGAAAGCCCTTTGGGAATGTTAAACCAAACGCACTTTAAGTGATATTCGTGTGTTTTTATAAAATTTAGGGGTTTGAGATTACATATAAAATCTGATTTAAAATTATAATAAAGATTAGTAAAAGAAATAAATTGAATCCATAACAAAACCAAGCATTGTATCTTGTAATTTAACCAAGTATTGTATCTTGTAATTTATAGACACCTGAACCTCTTCTCATTATATATACACGTTCAAAAACTTACGTAAAAGGTTAATTTGATAATTTTTTTAGGAATAACTTCTAAGTCTAATCTGCTCATTTTGTGAATTGGAGTCGAAAGGGTTCGATATTAAATAAAAATCAAATTTTAGAAATTAAACGTGCTCCATGTCCGTCACCCTTTATTGAATCACTGAGTTACAAATTTTAGGATAGGTGCCGGCCTAGGCACAGCACAACCAAACCAGTCACGACCAAGTGTTTGGCTAGTCATTTCAAATAACTTAATTGTCGGTTCATATTCTCGCGATTTTAGGAGCAATAAGTGTGGAGTTTGAGCACAATCCATTTAACCCAGATCGATTCTTTTCCTTTTCTAAGTAGAGCTTTATTTGGTCCAATTTGAGAAAATTGGCTTTCGCAGAAAATGCTGCTAACTTCACTTCAGGTCTGGGAAAACACAGCTTGCGCATACCTTGTGTGTTACTACACATGTTGGTCTGAATTGGATATTAGGTTTCTGTCGTTAACTTCTGTTGCAGTTTTTGTTCAGATGAACAATGCCAAATAGTAACATAATGATTGAATTTCTACAAAGAATAAAGACATGGGTGATCTTGGCATCAGAACGTGTGTATTAGGTGATTCTGGAAGTATGCCACTCTCATTTTCTGTAATCTGCAGTCGGTATACTGGAACGCATATACAGAGGCTCAAATCAAGTAGGAAAAAGGCCAGAAGAGTTTGTACTATGTCATAACCGAGTAAATGCCTTAATTATTGTCGGACTCGGACTTGGGGTTCAATCATCAGTCGAATGTGATGCTTCTTGGAGTACTCTACTTTATTTGCAAATCCTACAGCAGTATTTACCCCCATTTTCAATCATTCTTTATTTATGGTTTGTGGATTCCATGTTCGTAAAAAAATTTCAGCTGCCAACTCACATGAGAGGAGGAAATGGCAAGGTTGCTTACATCGACACAGAAGGAACTTTGTATCCGATTATAATCTGTCTGTATTTTTCTTGACCTCTACAAAGCTGCTTGTGTTTTGTAATCGTCTTATGTCCATGTAAGTGCATGTGCCCTTTCTTAACTTAGCACACCTGCAGTCGCCGTGATCAAACCGTACCAATAGCCGAGAGATTTGGCATGGATCCTGGTGCAGTCCTAGATAATGTAAGCTAAGCATTCTATACCGGCGGCAACTCCTTTTTTTTCTGGCTAGTGTACTTGCTATAATCTAGTCTTTCCATGAATTTCAGATCGTTTATAGCCGTGGCCACACTGATGAGCATTAGTACAAATTGCTTCTTGGTCTGGCTGCCAAAATGTCTAAAGAAAAATTTAGGTTACTGGTAAGACACTGCTCGAGAATCAAACTGATACAGATTTTTTGAGGTGTGGATGGTTGACCTTAGGTGAGTACCATTTTCAGATTGTGGATTCAGTGATCGCTCTCTTCCGAGTGGAGTTTACTGGAAGAGGAAAACTTGCAAGGCGCCAGGTAGGTCCTGAAACCATCAAATCATGCTAGTTGTGATTTTTCAGCTCATCTGGTTTGACACTTTCAGATTCCGAATCGCAGCAAAAATTGGGACAAATGCTCTCATGTTTAATTATGATAGCTGAGGAATTTAACGTCGCAGTCTACATGACTAACCAAGGTATCGCATCACATCTCATTTATCCCACATAGTCGTGCTACCATTAAAAGATCTCATCCAATTTAGCCCTTTGCTGAAAGATAGCAATTTGGGGACTGCACGGGAAAAGTGCCAAAAAACTTCTAAACCTTTTGCATTAGTGCCAATTTAGTCCTAAACATTTTTTTGGTGTCAATTCAGTCCTAAACCTTTTGCATTTGTGTCAATTTAGTCCTAAACCTTTTTTTGGTGCCAATTCAATCATAAACTTTTTGTTTTTGTGCCAATTTTGACCGGAATTTGCCGATGTGGACGCCTACTGGCCGCCGGCCGGTCACCGGCGCCGATGTGAACAACTTTAATAATATTTTAATGTTTTTTGAATTTTTATTATTTTCCTTTTTTCTTTTTTTCACTTTTTTTTTTGTCTCTCTCTCCTTCCTCTGGCCGGCGAGCTCGACCTCGCCAGCCACGGGCAAGGCTCGAGCCTCGCCGGAGGCCGCGGCAAGGGCGAGCCTCGCCATGTTCAGGTGAGGCCCGAACTCGCCGGATCTGGCGAGGTCGAGCCTCGCCCAGCGACCTCGCCAGATCCGGCGAGGTCGGGCCTCACCCGACCAAGGCGAGGCTCGCCCTCGCCGGGCGAGGCTGTCATGCCCCGAACCCCCGTCGAGCTCGCGACATCCCGCTTCAGGTCGAACGATTGCGACATCCCAGGAATAACGTCGCCGACCCAACGATCCATCAGAGTTAAATTGCGGCGGAAGCAATCAAAAATCCCGGGCATTAAAATTGGAGAACACCAGGAAGGAACAAATCGACAAACCACCAAGCATATATTATACTTCCAAATATTTACATCATCCGCCAATACAAACCACAAAATAATTTATAAGCACACCGAACTATGAACTCCAAACCACCAAAATATCAAGATCAGCTCTCTAAGTCAGCACTATCCAAAAATGGGGCGCATCCTCCTCCCAGAACTATCCCCTACGCCCTCTCGAAGGCGTCCACTCTGACTCACTGTCCTCGGCATCACCACCTGAATCCTCCGCAGCTATCTGCTCACCCGACGACTCCGAGTCGACCTCAATCTCAACATTCAGGCGGAGGCTCTGAAATGGTTTGGTTGAAACAACCATGAGATCACATCTCAATAAGTCACAACCTAAGCCCCACCTAGGCTATCACGTAATTCCAGACACATCCAAAGGCGCAACCAAACAACCACACAACCAGCAATCAAACATTCACACATACCTGGACTCTCTGCATACGCACCGTGCACGTTAGCCCACAATCCCAACGTACAATTCTTGCACACATGCCATCACACACTTTCCACATATCAATACGCACGCCAATCATACCACAGCAGTACATCACAGCCGCGCGTGTGCGTCAATTATAAAGCAAAACCTACTTGGGCACGTCCAATACCATGCCTAGCAGATTTTACCCCATAATCGCGCACTGCATCACGCGATACAAACACACTCGCACACTAACTCACACCATGCATCACTTTCACAATCCTCACATGTCAAGCCAAATCCCGCTCGTTCTCAACCTTTCCACCACTACCGCGCCCGCGTAAAACGCATCAGGCCAACGGTCTTCTAACCTCGTCAGGCATCGACACCCCGTCGGGCCGGGCATCGTCACCTCGTCAGGGACGGCATCGTCCCGCGTAAACGAACACGCCTCAGGACGGAATCCTACACACACTTTCCTTCTACCGCGCCCGCGTAAACGCATCGGCCAACGGTCTTGACCACGTCGAGGCATCGTCACCCCGTCGGGCCGGGCATCGTCACCTCGTCGGGACGGCATCGTCCCGCGTAAACGTACACGCCTCAGGACGGACCTCACCCCGCGTAAACGTACACGCCTCAGGGTCTCACTTTTCAAACCAATCCTACATTCCAGTACCTTCGTTCCACTCAAACCACATTTGTCACACGGCCACACCTACACACTGCCAAACACGCACACCTCACACACATTTCACAATTTCACATTCTCGTCACACGAACACGCCACCCAATCACACATTCTTGGCACGCGAATACAATACACGAATGCACTATCACGCCACCACATCTCACGGCCAAACACACGCGGCATATCATCAATCCATATTCAAACACACATTCAGGCTCAATTCCCGCCACAAGGGCAGCAACCATTCAACCTCGACACCCCCACCATTCCGCTCATAAAAACGAACATCCAAAAAATCGGGGTAAAATTGGGCAGTTTATACAGTGACCGAAATCCCATCAAAATAAATAGTAAACGAACTCCAAAAATTCTCAATTTTGGATATGTCACAAAACACATCCCGATAAACATTTCTTATGAAGAACATGAAATCCGGTTCAAACTGCAACCATGCCTTTTTGTCCCTCGAAATCAGACCAAAATCAGTTTGCTTCAACAGAATATTTTGTCCTCAAAATACATTTATTTCAACACCCAAATCACCTTGAAAAGCTTTGAAATTGTTATATGTTATATCCACGAATGTCCCCAACAACTTTTGTGAAGGAAGAATTTTGAAAATAGGCCTGGAAAAATTTATAAAAATTCGAACAGACCCGAAGGTCGGGTGAACAGTAAATCGGGCAGTTTTATTTCGGTCCAAAGATGGACTTTCGAATGACCTCAAATGATTTCCAAAAATTCCCAAATTAAAGTATGTTATACCTCAAGATGTTGGGAACAACTTTCATGAAGAAACCTTTCTCAAATTCGTCACACAAAATTCTCTAAAAAAATAGAAAACCGGGTGGGTACAGTAACCGCGAATCCGCGATTCACCCCGAACCTCACGGATTCAAGCCCGAACCGATTTCTACCGAATTCCAACCGCCAAAACTCATTTCCCGACGTCTAATCCAACCCGCAACAACCACTAACAGCCATACTCGGCCACCAATAGCCATGATTAACCACCAATAACCATGATCAACACCTTAATCAACCTCTAATCACCCCAAACTGCACCCAAACGAGTCCGAAAAATACCCGACGTCCTAGGCGAGGTTTAGGGAGCGACTTACCGGACTCTAGACTAACTCGGCTAGAGCGGGAAGGTGGAACGGCTGGCCGGCGGGTCACGGCGGCACACGGCGGCGGCAACGGCGAGCGGCGGCGCTCCGGCTTAGCTTGACTTCTCATGGCCAAATGAAAAAAAGAAAATGAAGAAGAAGAAGAAGAAGTGTTGGCGTGGGAGGAAGGGGGCTGCCGGCTGGAATGAAAAATGGGGGAGAGAGAATGGGAGGAGAGAGAGAAAGGGCAATAATAACTTTGACCAATTTTTCCCTTAATTCCAATTTTGCCCCTCTAATACTTGGTCCACATTGCTCCAAACCAAAATATCTAAGGGCGTTTTGGTCCAATATTTTGGGGCTGATATTTATCCACAATTAATCTCCAAATTCAATTTCCAAAATCCCCAAAATTCGGAATACCCAAAAATAGGCCTAGGGGCAAAATCGTAATTTTTCGGTCCCGGGTCGAAATTCCATTTTTCGACCGTACCAACTCCAAATGTGTGTGGCCAACATAATATGGCGTCGGATTCGCGAAATTCATCGCGCAAGCCCTCAAAAATTGACTGCAAAGTTCCGGGAATAAAATAATATTATTTTTCCAATTTTTGTCGAAATTCTAATTTTTTGCCGTAACCACTCCAAATATGCGTGGCCACTCTAAAATGACCTTGGCCTCGAAAAATAACCTCAAACGACCTCAAAATCCAACATCGGTGTCCACAGGGGCAAAACCGTAATTTTTCCGGCCCCGGACCGAAATCTATTTTTTTGCAGAAATGGGTGGCCCCAAGGTTGGCCAAGCCGAAAACGTCATCGGCCGCTCAAAATTGTCACTTTCAAAATTCTCGATTCCCGGGCCCGAATTCCAAGAAATGACTAAAATTGACCAATCGCGACTTTAGCTTATCTCTTGCTAACGGGTGGCTCATTAGGATTACGCGCTCTCGACCCATGACCGACACTAAGTCAAATCACGTTTAAGTTTGCTCGAACCAAGGCGACCTCGATCGTCATATAATTGCGAGGGTCTGTCACTAGTGCCCTTCGGACACGATCAATCAAATAGACCGGTCTCGGTTGGCTCAAAACATTCCCTCGTCAATCCATATAGTCGAAGATCGAACCCAGGTCGAGTTCTTTGGTCATGCGAACTCAATCCCGTAATAGCCCTATCCCTAAGGTTAGCATCCCGAGAATGCGCGGTTCCCGGGTGAGATCTCACTATAGAGCATTGGTCAAATTCATTTCCTAAATCCCGGGAAAAAGGATCGAAAATTCAGACTGTTACAGAGGCCGCCCTCGCCAGTGGCCGGCGAGGTCGAGCTCGCCGGCCAGAGGAAGGAGGGAGAGAACCAAAAAAAAAAGTGAAAAAAAAAGAAAAAATAGGAAAAATATTATTAAAGTTGTCCACGTCGGCACCGGTGACAGGCAGCCGGCCGGCAGGCGTCCACGTCAGCAAATTCCGATCAAAATTGGCTGGAATGACTAAATTGACACAAAAACAAATTGTTTAGGACTGAATTGGCACCAATTTAAAAGGTTTAGGATTGAATTGGCACCAAAAAAAGGTTTAGGACTAAATTGGCACCAATGCAAAAGGTTTAGGACTGAATTGACACCAAAAAAAGGTTTAGGACTAAATTGGCACTAATGCAAAAGGTTTAAGACTTTTTTGGCACTTTTCCTGGGACTGCACTAAGCCCGTACTAATTCGTGCAATCTCAAGAACCAGCTATTTAGTGTTAACTAGAGATACATAGAGAAGCTGCAGCCCGTGAGTTCGGAGAAAAATGATCTTTTGACGACTTTGTCTTTGATTTATTTGTTTCAGTGGCATCAGACCCAAAGAAACCTGTAGGTGGGCATGTTTAGGTTGACGTTTAGTAAAGGCGAAGGTGAGCAGCGGGTTTGCAAGGTGTTTTATGCCCCAAACCTACCCGAAGCCGAAGCTATATCCTTTATGCGCTGGATCTTCATCTAGCTATACACTTTGCTGTATTGAAATTACCAAATTATACTGCAGAAACCCAACGAATTACCTAGAAATCTATATCATAATCGGAGTGAAAGTCAATACTAAGTCTATATATGGATAGGTGGAGACCAGATTTCAAGCAGCATACTTATAGGATACTTGCATGCGCAGCCTATGCTATGGACAGAGCGCACATCTGTCAATATCATCAATTAATCTCCTCAGAAACCTTACGGAGAGCTTGCCATGGCAATAAGAGAAAACTGAGATATGTTCTATGGGTGTTAAACTTAACAAACACACGGTTTTCAGACAACACCAGGAGGCAAAGCTGATGCAAAGGACTAAAGAGGTATCTACAACCAGAACAGTAAGGCCAGGCGAAGTACCCTCTTTGTTATCCGCAATTTGACATTAGCTATGGTACTGACAGCTTCCTCTATCTTCTTTCATATCAATTCTGTATCAGCATGTGTCAAGTTCCTGTTGATAGCTTAGCTTGACTGCTGCTTTAGCCCTAACATCAAACATTCTTCGTTGTCTGTTATTAAAGTACTTATGACCCTTCATAAGGCATTGTGCTAACTCGATTTCCAATATGGGAACTCGCATGCTCCGAGTTACGTGGTCTAATATACTAGTAGAGAAATCAGAAACACAATTAGACTAATAAGCGAAAAAAACATAACATTGGATAAACTCTGCATGATGGCTAAATGAAGTGCCAGGTATTATTGCACAGAGCATGTAAGGTAATGTCAAGGCTTGGTTTTATAAGCAACATATACAGCCTGCATAAAAACGATGCCATTTCAAATCCTCAACATAGAGTGACCAACCATTAGAGCCGAAAATTGCCAGTGTATGAGTTATAAGCAATAGAAGGCCATTCAATAACTAATGGCCTGGCCAGAAAAGGGCCATAAACCATAAGATTCAGTAGTGCGAGGACCAATTCGCAGCACTCCCAACTCTAGGCATGCTGGACTCCTTCTTAGTCTCCGCATCCACTTTGAATGTAGCGCCGCACACTTGGCCAGAGCTGTCCACCCTAGGAACCGGCTTCACCTCATTCATTGGGTGCTCGTAACTCCTCAAACCTCCAGAACTGGTAAAGAAGCATCCTGAGTAGGAAAAGAAGGCAACATTAAAAGGTGAAACAATTTGGCGCTCAAAAACCATTGGCAGAGCAACATTGTAGGTGAAAATGCACATGTCAAAACATGCATACAGATAAAGAAAACCAATTTAACCCCTACCAACTCATTCCAAACCTTATAAATCTTTACTTCCTATAAGTCTTCCCATATGTTTTTACCCAAAAATATAACATTTTCCTATGAACTCTGCTTAATATCAGCAGAATTCATCCATCCTGACTTTTCACATTCCAATGCATGGACGAAACTCCAATGAAGCCGCATCAACAATCCATAAAAATAATTACCTTTAGGGAATGGTGCGAAAGATTTCCCACAGCCCTTCTTCACAACTTCTGCATCATCCGAGAGAACAAGATTGCCTTCAGAATCACTTCCCCAGAAGAAAGGAACATTTCCATCAACATCCTGCAAGATTAAGAGGACAGAAAGGATTAGATAGATCGCAGGTGGAGGGAGAGATTGAGAGCGATAATCCCAGAACGAAACCACGAAAATCACTATTACTTACAGAAGCCAGAAAAGCGGTTTTACAAGAGCTGTCAAAGAGCACAAAAGCAAACTTCCCGCTGATGTCTCTCACGACTTGATCAGCAGGATAAGGCCCCCGATCCCTCAGAGTTCTATAAGCCTCTATGACGATAATGACCTCATTGGCCGTCTTGTTCAATCCATATTGCTGCTTGAGAAGAGCAACATTCTCTATGTGCCCTTGAAACAAGCAGAAGATGTCATCGACAACCGCAAACAATCTGCCACAGCGGGTAAGGCATGTCAGATATCTATGCCAGATGACCCAATTAAGGAGAGCAGTACCGAAACTCCCGTGAACTAACAAACACAATAGGTTTCATTTCCCGGCTTTCGAAATGAGCCGGAGACTTGAGTACCACTTTCTCCTTTAGGCTGATACTTTCAACCTCCAATGCTATCACACCCAATTCCCACCAAAATCAGTTTGATTTAAACATTTGCTTCCCTAGAAAGTCGAAGTCACAAGTCTGTTTTTTGCCTCTAAGCTACCATTATCTTTTTCTCAATTACCCAGCACCCTCCAAGGATCCTTTGTGTTTGGCATGTTACCCTTCTGATCGAAAAGGTTGAATTTTCAGAGGCAAGACCAACAATCGCAACAAAAAAAAAACTAAAGTCGAATAAAGACAGAGAGCAACTAAGATACCGATCCTATTTTGTCCTTAACACAGTAACATATTATAAACAGAACAAAACTTTACAACCAAAAAAAGAAAAGAAAGCATATAACTTTGGGTTTTTGGACAATATTCCGCACGCCCCCACACACAGCAACCACAGACAGTCCACTTCGTAAAGCAAAGGCGACACGCGACATCCTTAATCAAAGACACGAAACTAAGGACACGATGCTGAAACGATCCCAGGAAACAAAAACCGCTGATCGGGGCGTGATCCAGCGAGCAAGCACCCGAGAGATCCGCGACCACAATCGCCCCGCCGATCTCGAAGCGCGATCGCGAGAACGAAACGAGCGAAAAAAAAGAAGACCCTAAACGAGCCCCGGAAATGCGAAACGAATCAGAGGGGGCGGGGAGACCTGGGGAGGAGAGGGTTCTGCCGATCGAGGGAGTAGGCCAGCAGGCCGGACGAGCCGAGGTTGACGTTGACCGCGGCGGGGTGGGCGGTGGCGAAGTGGTGGCCGAGGGCGCCGTCCTTGAGCGCCGAGGCGGCGGCGGCCCCGGCCCCCGGCTGCTGCTGCGGGCTCTGGAGCGCCTCCGGGCACTTCGCCACCGATCTGTCGAACACCGCCAGCATTTTGCACGACGACGACGAAGTCGACGATCGATGGATCGATCGGTCCGATCGCAGAGCGGATTGGGGACGAGCGAGCAAGAGCAAGAGCGCGAGCAAGAGAAGCGAACGCCAGAGAGAGAGAGGGAGAGAGAGAGAGAGAGATGGTGGGATGGAACTGGGACGTTGGCGAGCGTGGGTGAAGAAGCGAAGGGGTAGAGGGCGATGCTTATGAAATACGGCGGTGGAACCTGTGGAATTCTCGAAACTGCCCCTTCTCCCTGCCCTTTTCCGTTAACTGCTCCCCCCGCTTTCGTTATCCATTTCGTTCGTTGTTGCCTTTATCCACGTGGAAATAATAATAATTAAAAAAAAAAGGGAAACGTGCCAAATTCACGCAAATTATTGAATTCTAAAGATGCGTTAGATTCGCGGAAAATGAGTGATACGATCGCTTATATTGTTCAGAAAAATGAATGGACGGGAAAAAAATTTTCACCGTCCATGAAAATAGTTAAGCGTGAATTGTTATCGATAATGAAAATATTTTCTGTTGACTAATTTTTTAAAACGATATAAGCGATTATTTTTTAAAAAATATTTTTCGAATCACTCATTTTCCGTGAAATCAACGCACCCTAATTTTCGCCGGTCCTAATATGGGAACCCCAACTTCAATTTGGGTAATTTTTTTGGGTAAGACCAAAAAAAAAATTGGATGAAGATCGCTCCTACTCCAGCTAAGTTAGACCCTTCATGTCTTTATTAGAGACGTGCCTATTTCGAATTCTCTTTTGAGAAAACGGCCTCATTTCGGGTCTTTATTTGAAAATTTCTCTTTAAATCAATTTTTAGCTTTCTCTATCTCTTCTATTTTGGGTTATCTCTAAGATATATACTTTCATATTTCAAAAGATCACAAACGCTCACCACTGTTTTTGCACTTTTGGGTGCTTTTGTTTGGCGAAAAATGAGTGATTTGAAAAAAAAAATTGTAAAAATAATCGTCTGTATCGCTTGCAAAAATGAATTAATGAAAAATATTTTCACCATTCACGAAAATCGTTATCAATAAGTAAAAGAAAATTATTAATTAATTATCTTAAGTGATATAAGTGATCAATTTTAAAAAAATATTTTTTAAATTATCCGTTTTTCGCGGAAACAGACGAAAGGTTGAAATCTAAAATGAGAATTCTTGAAGCAGCATCCTCCTCTCCTTTTTTGCAGTAATTATGAATAGTGGACAAGGGTAACCCAGTCGGAAAAAAAATTGACACGTGGCACCGAAGGAAAGGGCCAAAAGTTTTTTTAAAAAATTTTAATTGCGGTATAAATAATTTTGACTAAATCTCGAATCCGAGTGACTCCCCTCTTGCCTGACACCCATCTCTATTTCTTAAACCGTCCGATTATATAAAAAAAAAAAAGGGGAGGGAGGAAGGGGGGGGAGAATTCCCCCGGTTCCACTGTCTGCCGCCATCCACCGGCTGTCTACCTCCACCTGTCGGCTGTCGAGAACAGAAATTTAAGAATAACTTATCAAACGAATTTTCGAGACTAGAAATTTTGTGTTGTTATCAAATGCTAATTTTTGTTTGGAAACTTGTTCGGGAAATAGATAAATATCTTATCTTTATCAGTATTATCTATGCAGTGAAAATAATGCAGATACAGATATTTAAACACTTAAAAGTAAGTGGCGAAGTTTTAGTTGATAATCACGATACGGAAATGAACTTCGCAAAGTTAAGAAAAATGATTAACTCAAAGTATCAATAAATAGAAAATAGATTAACAACCGACGTCTGAAATTATTCGAAACATAATTTTAGACCCGTGCAATGCACAGGCATCTTAATAACTAGTGGTTACTTTAACAAATCTTGGATTTTACATAATTCTCTAATAAATATCCAATCGATATAATTTCATATATTCTTGCGCATAATTCTAGAATTATGCATATTTTGGTTTTCTCGTCAACATAGACGAGAGTGTTTTTCTATTGAATCTATTACTCTATGGCTTCCTTGTTTTTTTTTTACGATATACAATAGGACTGATCGGTTCCGAGGTGAGTAGAACCGACCCTGTCATGGCCGGTTCACCATATCAAAATTGAGAATTGGATTTGTTGCCCTAAAACCGGCCAGCTTTTCTTTTTTCATTTTATTATATACAATATGGAAATTAGCCCATTAAGGTTTCGACTGATTTAATTCTTTTGGCAATTAACCTGAGACCGATTCGGCATTGACTCAAAATACAACACCAGTGATAGAATGGAGCACTGTGTTGTTGAGGTAGTCATCCATCCGGAAGAAACAGTGACTACAAAAGCAACTTTTCACGGAAGATGAGTTTTTTTTTTTGGTGATATAGTATTCTCATTTATCATTTCTCAAAAGATGAAAGACGGACGAAGTTAGGTTGATCATCATCCACACTAAAGACGGAAATATTTGCATTTTGTTGGAGAAATTCTCGAGTAGCAATAAATAGCGGGTCGAGCTCGTGAACATGACACATCCAGAGCGGGAATGCGCCACTTCGCACGTCTCATCTCACCATTCGAGCGATGAAAACCTTCCCATAATAGATTTTGTCCCTTGCATTGGCGGCCATCCACACCATCATTGTGCGATGAAGAAAAGCCGTGACGCGCTCTTTGTTCGAATATCAATGTTGAAAGAAACATCATGAATACAATACAACCTTAAAAGAATTCCGTAGAGCATCCTAACCCTTTTATAAGAAACAGTATCGCTTCGAATGTACCTCGGAGTCAAGTCGAACCGCCAGAGTGGAGTTGTTGGAACGAGTATTGGAATGGAGTCGAGCCGCTGGAGAGGAGGAGAGCGAGACACGTGAGAGAGATAAAAGAGAAATAACTTAGGTGGCTTAGTACTTAGGGATGAACCGGTTCGGTTCCCGGCCTCACTCTAGAACCGGCTTCGAGTGGAACTAACCGGTTTAGGGTCTAGAATCGGGAACCGAACTGGGGTACTCACCCATAACACACATGATCTACGTCTCGAGGATCGATTCCGTTTTTTTTTTCTTTTTTATCGGACACGTTCGATAAAATACTTCGAAAATCCCGATTCACGAGACCGCATCGGGATGGGCATTCGGATAAGCTCCGGAGGTTTTTACTTTTTGTATTTTGTATTTTTATTTTTCTTAATCGGACGGTTTAAGAAATAGAGATGGGTTGTCATACAAGATTGCCGTGCAGCCCAATCACGACGGAGTCACTCGAATTTGAGATCTAGGGTGCGCATAAATACCATTCTGTGCCCGGGAGCTATTTCTGAACAGAAATGATTTTTTTTTATTCTGTGCCGTGGGTCGCGACGGCGAGGCTCGGCCTCGCTCGATCTGGGTGAGGCCGCCTCGCCTAGGCGGCGAGGGCGACCCTCGCCTCCGCCGGCGAGGGCTGTGACGCCCTCGCCGGCCCTGGGCTGTGGCCGGTCGCCGGCGGCCGGCCCAGCCCAGGAAAGAACAACACAAAAATAAGAAAAGAAAAAAAAGAAAAAAAAAAAAAAAACTGATTCTCAAAATTGTGCCGAGAAACAAGAAGTAACTTTTTTTTACTTCTTGTTTCTTTTCCAAAACTGTTTTTCGGCACAAATTTTTGCAAAAATGTTCCAAGGAACAAAAAGTTTACCAAACGCATTTCTGTTCCGAAACTATTTCCGGGAACAAAAGAACAGAAATTTTCACTATTTGGCACGTTACCAAACGGGCCCCTAGTGTCAAAATTATTTATACCGCAATTAAGCACTTCTTCTTTAATTTTGGCCCTTTTCTTCGGCTGACACGTGTCCTTTTTTAGACCGGGTTGCCCTCGTCCCGCTTATCTTAATTACTGCAAGAGAGAGAGAGAGAGAGAGGAGGATGCCACTTCCAAGAACTCTTAGTCTAGATTTCTGAATCGTTAAAAACGGTGAGTTTCCGTGATCTCTTGAAATATATAATCCTAATATAAAAGAGAGAGAGTGGGGAATAATTTCAAATAAAGTTTCGAAATGGAATCGATTTCTTAATAAAGGGATTCGAAGTGGACACAATTTCTAATAAGTGTACGTGATTTTTTGCGGAATGTGAAAGCATGTATATTAGATAACCTCGTATAGAAGAGGGAGAAAAGGTTAAAAATTAATATAGGAGAAAAATTTCAAATAAGAACTCGAAACGGGACTATTTCCTCAAAAAGAGAGTTCGGAGCGGGCACCGACACCGTCGGGCGCTAGCTTAGTTAGAGTAACAGCGATTTTGTCCGGATCCTTCGATTTTTACCCAAAATTGAAGTTGAGGGTTCCCAACCTACAAAATGGGCCAAAACATTAATGAGAATTTTAATTACGTGCGTAAATTTGGCCACATTCCCTTTTCCTTCCACGTGGATAAAGGCGACAACGGACGAAATAGATACCAAAAAAGCGGGGATAGGAGCCCTTGATGATGGTACAGCAGAGTCCATTGATCAGGTGACGAGGCCCGAAGGGGGAAAGAGGAGATCACGTGCCACATTGAATCACCAGCGCAGTGCCTAAATCAATTTTTAGATTTCTCTTTCTCTTCTATATTAGGTTATCTAATATGTATACTTTCATATTTCAAGATCACATAAAACTCAATCGATTTTACACTTTAGAATCTAAATGAAAATTGGCACAAATGATCCTGAATTTTAGCTTAATATAAAATATCGTTTATGAATTTTTAATTTGTTCAGTATGATCTCTGAACTTTCAATACATGTTCAATTTAGTCCACAGACTAAATAATTCAAGGAATATATTGAATATTTAACAAAAGTTCAAGGATCATATCGATCAAATCAAAAGTTCAGAATGACATCGTATATGGTGTTGACATTTATGGATCACATTGAACAAATTAAAAATTAAAAAATGATGTTGCATTTTGGGTCAAAGTTGAAGAATCATTTGTGTAATTATTCCGAATCTAGAATTAAGAGTTCTTGAAGTAGCATCGGTGTTTTTTTTTTTTTTTTTCGGTAATTAAAAAAAGTGGACGAGGGTAACCCGGTCTCCGAAAAAAGAAATAGTACACGTGGCAGCTGAAGGAAAAGGGCCAGAATTTAAGAAAAA